CCAGTGAGGTTTTTCTGTGTTGCAGATAAAGAAACTTGAGTCGCGGCTCAGTGCCACAGCGTGCACGGTCGCCAGCGGCGAATCACACAGCAACAACGCAAAGTGGAGGAGAGACGCGTGCGCCGTTTGTGAGTGCAGAGTGAGTGTGGGTCCGTGTCCATGCCCTCAGTTATGCCCAGGACCAAGAGCAGCACAGGACCACCCAGGTGTCGGGGAGGTGCCGCTGCTCACCTGTGCCTCTGTCCCTCTTTCACCCCCATGGAAGCACAGGGCGGGCCCAGCCTCTCTGTGCCAGCTGCACCTGCAGAGGAGGCGCTGGTAGGGCCAGAACCTCGGCAGTGTCTGTCCTGAGTGGGCACCCACTTTCCCCTGTGGCAGGAACTTTCACAGCACAGAAACCTGCAATGAGACAGACAGGGCTCCTCCTCACCGAGATCCTGTTTAAACATTTACCCCCGCACCACGGCCTCCGTCCAGTCATGGGGTGGGTGTGTTACAGAGGTGCGTAAGGAGCAGTCCTCCTCCTGGAGAAGGTGGACAGGTGGCGGGTGCCCTGTGCTGGCCATTTGCAGACGTCTGGCTGCAGCCCAGGCTCCCTGGGAAGTTCACGGCAGTGTTGGGAAGCAGAATCGCAAGGACAGAGGACCAGTCTGAGGACCTTGGGTGCCATCAGGGGATGGGCTTAGTCCGTCTGCCATGGACATCGGGAGAGGGCATTCCATTGCCCCTGGAGTGTCTGGTTTGGGAAGGACAGACCAGTGGAGAGGAGAGCTGTGTCCCTGCCCACTTCGTCCTGGTCCCATCCTCCTTCATGACGACATCCACAGACACAATCAGATGGGATCCAGGTGCAGGTGGGGAGGGTATGCTCAGCCTGTGGTCCTGGGGCCTCCTCTGTGTGGGAGGACGGTAGGAAGGACAAGGGAGGGTGGGGATGTGAACCTTCCAGAAGGAATGGGGTGGGGTATAGTGCTCACTCATGTCTGCGTGTAGCTGTGAAATCAGCAGAGAACCAGTGCTGTATCACAGAACCCACAGGACAGGTGACGCCTGTGCCCGGGGTCCCAGCAGTCACAGTGGGAGGTGTGGCACTGTGCCCTGCCAGAGTTCACCCAAGAACTGACGGGCTGTGTGTCATTCTCCTCCAGGACGGGCAGATCACCTGCTTCATGGAAGCTTGCCCACCTGCCACTTGTCCAGCGCCTATGAAGATCAAAGGAGCGTGTTGTCCCATCTGCTTGAAGAAAACCACAGAGGAAAAGCCGTCGGCTCTGGAGAAGCTCCTTGAAGTCAGTCTGCTGCGTCATCGTGAGATCAGACGGCCGATACAGGCAGCTGCGGACCAAAGGAAACATCCAGGACTCAAGACGTTTCAGGACAATGTCCAGCCAGTGCTGTTACAGAACGTAGCGCAGGGAGCTTTCGACTGGAGTGCTCGTCAGGAAGGACACACGGAAGGGACGCAGGCACGAGTCCTAACTTCATGTTAGGTTTCCCAGGTTTTTATTTAATTCTCTTAAAATGAAAACTCGGTGCTCCTATTAAATCGCACAGTTAATCCTTTAGGCTTCTAAATTGATTTCTCCTAATAACACCACTTCTTTTTAAATAAAGCAGGATCCCTGTAATTGTTAGTGCTGCCTGGTTCTGACACCGGGAGCTCACAGATGAGTCACCCGCAGGTGGGGTGATTACAGAGCCACCAGAAGGTGGCTCGCCAAAATCTGGGTTACATCGAATGCTACATTTAAAAAGAAAATCAGTGTTTGGCAAATGGAACAGAATCGTGTATGAGCATGTTCACGGGGACGCAGGCTCCCGGCTCCCTCCATGGTAACCTTTGGCCACCTCCCTCTTCTGGGTTCTCTGTAACGTTTCACAGGTCATCAGCGTTAAATCATGAAACAGACATTCCCGCCACTCAGAGCGGCTGTGAACCTGTGACTCTGCGTCAGCTCTTTCCACACATGATGGTGACGTTATTAGGCCACATCTAGGAACAGGTTTGTTTTCACTTGTGACTTGCATGCATACTGCCTAGTTGTGAACCGAATGTGAAACCCTCTTCATCCCATTCCGTACCTGACGATACCTGCTGGTGACCGTGTGCATTGACGAAACTGGTCCACAGCCGGCTCTGGATTCGCTCGTACCCGCGAGGCTCTGTCACTGACCGGAGCACACGGAGGAAGAGCCACCCTCCAGATGCTTCTTCCCACGGGCTGAAGGAATTCGATTGTGAGAACTTTCTAACTTTAAGTTGTGTGAGTGTGTTAAGAAAAAAATGAAACCCTATACTGCATTTGTATTTTTTTTTTCCTTTTTGTTAAACCCTCTTCATCCCATTCCGTACCTGACGACACCTGCTGGTGACCGTGTGCGTTGACGAAACTGGTCCACGGCCAGGTCTGGATTTGCTCGTACCCGTGAGGCTCTGTCGCTGACCGGAGCACACGGAGGAAGAGCCACTCTCCAGATGCTTCTTCCCACGGGCTGAAGGAATTCGATTGTGAGAACTTTCTAACTTTAGGTTGTGTGAGCGTGTTAAGAAAAAAACGAACCCCTGTACCTCATTTGTATTTCTAAAATGCATGATGTTTTATGAAAATTTGCCCAGTTTTTAGGTGTTAGATTTGGCATGAAATCATTTCCACTATGCAAAAGTTCTTCTAGGATTCAGTGAAAGCAACTCTCATACCTCATGGTCTCTCTCTTTTTAATTGACTGAAACCTTCCATTTTGTTCTGAATGCCACCTGGTCTGTGTTCTGAGAAAAGTTTTCCTGAATGTGCAAGTCCAGCTCAACACACCTTTACTTGAGGGTCCACTGTGTGCCAGGCCCTGTGCTGGGGACACAAGATGCAGAGATGCAGGGACCCCTAGCCTCATAGAGCCTCCAGCTGAGGTGGCAGGTTTCCAAAATTGGTGGCATCATATTGAGACCATTATTAGTGGGGGTGGCAGGAAGGTCCCAGCAGTGTCTGGCACATTATGGACTCTTACGATGTCGGGTGTGATTTGCACATGATGCATATTCCAGTGTGTGCAGGTGGGGAGGGTATGCTCAGCCTGTGGTCCTGGGGCCTCCTCTGTGTGGGAGGACGGTAGGAAGGACAAGGGAGGGTGGGGATGTGAACCTTCCAGAAGGAATGGGGTGGGGTATAGTGCTCACTCATGTCTGCGTGTAGCTGTGAAATCAGCAGAGAACAAGTGCTGTATCACAGAACCCACAGGACAGGTGACGCCTGTGCCCGGGGTCCCAGCAGTCACAGTTGGAGGTGTGGCACTGTGCCCTGCTGGGGTTCACCGAAGAACAGACGGGCTGTGTGTCATTCTCCTCCAGGACGGGCAGATCACCTGCTTCGTGGAAGCTTGTCCACCTGCCACTTGTCCAGCACCTATGAAGATCAAAGGAGCGTGTTGTCCCATCTGCTTGAAGAAAACCACAGAGGAAAAGCCGTCGGCTCTGGAGAAGCTCCTTGAAGTCAGTCTGCTGCGTCATCGTGAGATCAGACGGCCGATACAGGCAGCTGCGGACCAAAGGAAACATCCAGGACTCAAGACGTTTCAGGACAATGTCCAGCCAGAAAAAAAGACAAAAAGGAAAAAAAAAAAAAGAAATATCAAATCAGATTTTGTGATCAGATCTTGGCACAGATTTCTGTAAACTAGGAAATGTGTAAGTGTGTCTAAAACTTGATGGTTTTGTAAGTTGCTCAGGTATAAAAACGACAGTAGATTCTACATTTTGGGGGTGTCTTGCTGTTTCCTAAGTGCCTTGGAGGTGTGCTCATGGTCTCCTGCCAGGGAGCATGCGTGGAGGGAGGTCAGGCGTGCAGCTTGGGCAAGTGTCAAGGGTTTACGTTCTCTAAACCGAAGCGGGGGAAGCTGACTGTGATTTACAGTAAAATTCTGTAATTCAGACCGAAATGTCTGCAGTATCACCAGTCTGATATTATATATATTATAAAAACAGTGGGCAGTTCCTGAACAAAGTTTTTTAGCAGCCACTGTAGGGGGATTGTGCTTATAGGAAGCAAAGTGTACATATTTATTTACTTTTCTAACTGTTGCCAATAGCCAAATAAATGCCTTTTTAACGTTCATTGTATTTAGTACCTTACCAAAGACGTGTTTGCACTATGTAATGATGCCTTTCAGTTCAAATAAATGGGCCACACTTTCAAATGGAAAGTTTCTTTTGTATTTTTTTTTACTTTAACAGATGAAAAAGCCTGTACCTTGTTTATCAGCTGAGATCAAAAGCATAATAAAGAAAGGAGGCAAGTCCTAGGAAGAAGCCCAAGAGGTGTCTAGTCACTAATTGTTTTATATGAAACATGTGAAAAAGAAAAAAAAAGAGGATAATTAACAGGGACTCTTTTTTGCTAAGTAGCTAGGATGCTTTAACTAGGCTGACTTTGTTATTTTAAACCTAGGGCAGGTGGGTGTTGAGCTCTTGGGAAATGCCTCTAGCACCTGCCCCCATCTCCTGAAGTTGCTGTGCTGTGGACAAAGACATTTACTTGTCAGTGAGGAAGCGAGTAGGGCAAGCTGCACTCACCCTGTGGTCTAATGGGTGGGTAGACTGTCTTCCCAAAGCAAGAGCCCAGACCAGGGGAGATGGGAGTCACTGGAGACAAATGTTTCCTCTGCAGACCTGGGCTCAAGCGTGGCTCTGCGTCTGGAAATAGGTGACAGTGTGTGATGATTCTTCATCCCTTGGGCTTTGGTCTAGGTGGGAGAGAGGATGCTGTTCTGAAGGAAATCAGAAAGGATTTGAGGGTATTTTTATAAGGTTTGAGAGACAATCATTACAGTTTATATAATTATAAGAAAATGAAATATTAGGGGAAAATTAAATATTAAGTGTTTAAAATTTCCAAATATTCTTAAAACATGAATAAAAACCTTGGGCTGCTTTCATGAACATTCCATGATACAGAAGCTGATATCTGTAAATTCTCCCATGCATTTTCACGGTGAGCTCCCCCAAACCTCAGCATCACATCAGTGGTGAACTCTGCCCACATAGGAAGGTCATAAACCTAAAATCATCTTCTGCAGCCATTCAAAAATTGTATTTAAAGACTCCAACAGCTCTCATTTCTTAGAGTGATAAACGTAATGTTCAATTTTTTTATGTATCATTAATAGATTTCCATTGCATTTAATTTGGAGTATTTCAGGACTGTAATTTTGAGGCTAGGGCTCAGACCCTTCAAACGTGTTGTACAGACTGGGTCACCAGACCCCTCGTGTGCCAGGCTGGCTGGGTCACAGACCCCACATGTGCCAAACAGACTGGGTCACCAGACCCCTCGTGAGCAGGTCACAAGCTAGGTAATTAGGAAAGATCCTGGGAGCCATTGACAGGTTCATTCCAACTTGAGCTCAGTCCTCAGCTTCCTCAGCAGCAGCAGCAGCTTACAGCAGCCTCCAGCAGCAGCAGCAATGGCCTCCAGGGTCATCCTGGGGGCCTTGGCAGCAACATCCTCCAGCAGCAGTAGCAGCCTCCCTGCCCCCCACCCACCCAGGGCATCCCGGGTGTGGGGGGCCCTGTGGATCAGAGCTACTCTCCTTTATACTTAAGTCTGATAACCCAGGAACACCTGGGTATGAGTCAGACAACCCAGGAACACCTGGGTGCACATGCACAATTACATCAAACAATAACCAAGGAGCACCTGGGTGCACATGCATGTTTACATCAAATGCTTGGCAAGATTCCGAACCTCCAAGGGATCCTGACCATTCATTTCCCTTTCTCAACATTAATGAACTACTTAGTGGGGGCAGCTGACAGAAATACTGGGTGATGGGGGTAAGACCAGGCACACCTGTGCCATGTACGTGTTTCTAGAGCACCTGGGATTAGAGCCCCTGGTGCAGCTGAGGAAGGAACCTAAGTAGGAATTTAACCAATCTCTGTCTCAGGCTGAGTCTCATGACTATGGGATGCTCTGTTCTATAAGAATGTTGTGTGGTTAGGAATGAAATAAACTAATTAGTGCTTAAATTGGTGACTAAGGAGTTATGCTGACAATTTTAAGAAAGCTGATGCATGAAGATTTTTACCTGAAACTGCCTGTGTACTGTGTCTCCTCTGATGTAATAAGCCATCAGCAGCTATGACTTCTGCTTTTATCCCACCAGTAGGAACGACCCAGCTCAGCTCTGAGGCGGTCCCCCTTCTGTTACCTTCCCTATTTGTAATAAACTTAGGAGCACTACTTTGACTGCCAGATGGTGTTTCCCAGGCCTATCCTCACATCTGGCTCCCAATAAACTTCGTGAAAATTATGTCTGCCTCGACAGCTTTAATTTCCGTTGACACAGCTTGTGAGGCTCCTGGCCCACAGAAGGACCAGCAGCGGGTCTGCACGTGGGCGGAGGCAGCCCATCTCCAGCCAGACTCTGGGCATGCACTGCGAGCGCCGTGAGGCTGCAACCCTCTCCTGCAGGGCCTGGGTCCATGGTCTGCTCCGCTGGCTGGAGGCTGCCTCGGGCTGGGAGCCACAGCCATGGACGCAGAGGTGTAGCTCGTACTGGCCCCAACAACTCATATGCTTTCACCCCTCAGCCAACAACAGGCAGTCAGGCCTGTCCTAATCAGCATTTTACACACAGGGAATGAAAATGGGGGGGGGGGAGTGCCATATGCCAAGTTTAATTTAAACAAATGCATAGTGTGGAGCCAGCAGAGATCAGT